TGTGATGTTTGCAAAATCCTTTCTACTCTCTAAAAATTTCTCTCTCTAAAATCCTCTCTACTTTCTTAAATTTTACTCAACCTTCCACTCTCATCTATATCCTCTCTTGCTACCTTACAAACCCATATTAACACGTTGTTGGCCTCCAACCGAGTGGGTCGGCCTCCCCATTTTCCCTCAATGCTTCCTGAAAATAGCAAGCGCTTCGTCCTTATTGGGAGAAAATCTTTTGACATCGTTTGCGATGGAAAGAAGCTTGATGGTTTGAGAATCTACGTAAACGGAAGAGGAAACAAAATTTCTATCACTTTCAACAAAAAAAAAGTTGAAAGGATGATTGAAAACCTAAGTGACTTCTATTGGAACAGAGGCAAAGATTCATGGGGCAGAAATATTAAAGGACAACATCGTCATCTCTTCGTAGCTTTGATCTAGAACAGATGGGGCATAAATCTTGTATTATAGGAAGAAAGAGATGGTTCTGTCAAAAGAATTTTTATTCCTGATGGTTTTGAGGCCGGGGGATGGTTTTTTTTAAATAAAGGTGAGAAATGTTATTCACAAAGATATCAAGGAGGTGTCACCTGTATAACTAATCCTATGTCTTCCCAATCATATACATCGTGACCTAATAAGAAACAAGTTTTTGGCATGATGAGTTGGCGGGTGATTTCAAAGTAAAAGATCGGTTTCGTAGAATTTATGCTATTGCTAGCGATAAGGAGGCTAAGGTGGAGAAGATTTTCGGATCCGTGGGTGGTGATAGAACCTAGAGTGTTAAGGTTAAGAGGAATCTGCAAGATTGGGAGATTGATGAGTACAACAACCTTATGCTTTGTTTAGACAACATTAAGCTGACTGAAAAACTTGATGAGAGACTTTGGAAACTGGATATTAACAAGGGGGGATGGTGGCGCACTATGAAAGCCATTTTTGAACTCCAATTGGTCACTTTATCAATTAGTTAGATGGTCAAATCTCTTGGAACTCCTTTTTCTTATGGAATGTTGATGATCGAGGATCTGTTGATATTATCTCTTTGTTGAACATCCTTGCCCTTTTTTAGCATCTCTTTACATTTCGATATCAGATTTGGACACATGGAATCCTTTATGGCAAATTCTCCTTTTCTCACATTATAAATAATTCTAGTTGCCATTACAAGACTTTCACCAGCACTCTTGGAAACACAAGTTACCTTTTAGGAAGGTTTTTGTTTGGACGACTATTATGAACAGGCTCAACACCAATGGTTTTGTTGTAACTGTGCCCTTCTTCTGGGTGTGTGTTATATATTTCAAGGCAGGTGAATCCCATAGCCATCTTTTTTGCACTATGAGGTGGCCTGGAGGCTATGCCCAGGTGTTAAGACCCTAAAAGACTCAGGTCAAAATGTTAAAAAAGACTGCTGAGGAAGGTGGCAAGGCACTCCAGGTTTATTATTGAGAAAAGAAGAAAAATGTCTGCTAAGCTGAGTTGGTGTACCAGATTTGGGTATTTAGAAATGGAATAATCTCTGTTATTGCAGCTAGCATTTTCTCTGCTGCTGCTGGTACTATTAGGAGTTCCTTTCTGTTATGGTTTGTTGGATTTTTCCGTATTTCTGTACTAAGGTAGAATTTAAGAGAATGCAGCCATGTAATGGACATACTAGAAATTTGCATACAACTTTTATGTATTAACGGACAGTGCTAGAGTCATTTCCGAATCCTCTCCTCTCATCTTCGTCTCTTCCTTCTCTCACCTAACCCTAAAATCTTTCTTTCTCTCTTCTTCCTATTCACTTCTAAAATTCCTCATTTCTCTCTCTCTCACTACCTCACACAAGTTCTCAGCGGGGTTCATATCTGAACCTCCTAACAGGCTGATTGATACTTTTGTTAGCATGTAAGTCCTTCTCCCTTCCCTTAGAAGTTAGCATGCTTGGACAGGATTTATATTTGCTGGTTTATGGGTATTATGATGGTGTAATTCTAGACTCTTTAAGTGGTTATTTTTTCCAGCCTAAAAAATGGTCTTCTTTGCTGTATTGTGGACCAAGCATATGGTGTCTTTGGAGATGTCTCTAGGGCTATCTTGCAA